AGGGGAGGCTCGTGCGCCGGCGAGCAAATCGTGTGTCAGACTCGTGGCAGAGGGGTCAGCGCGAGAGAAAGAACGACACGAACCGAACGTTTTCTGGACTTAGCGGGTACGTTTTCACATTACAAAACGTACACCATTTTTTTCTTTATTTTAAATTATTTTCGCTTTTTTCCCTTATTTTTTTTGGATCTTCACTTATTACCTTCTCTACCATTTCTCTTTCTGTTTCTCTCTCTTTTTTTTCTCTTCCACTCTTGTGCGCGCGCGTACGGTTTCCTTTTTGCTTCCTTTCACATTCGCGAATCCTATTTCTTTACTAACGATACACTAAATCATTATGTTTTTTTCTCGTCGCGAGGCAAGTATAAGGAAAGAATGTAACAAATCGTCAGTTTCGATTATGATCGAGATCCTCGGTGTCGAGCGCAAAGCCAAGTGTTTGTCTATTGATTTCCACATACGAGAAGGTCTGTAGTCGTGTGACACAGAAATCATTTGCGTTTAAAGGAACGTGAGATATCCGCGGAAGTATGAACGACATGGAAGCTTACGGGGACGGATACATGGAGCCAGAAGAGGAGTGGGAGAGGGATGGTCTCCTAGACCCGGCTTGGGAAACACAGCAGAAAAAGGTAAGCTTAATCTCTTCTTTTTTCATTTTATAATATTTTCGCAGATTTTCTGTAGCCTGAATGAAAAGCTTCTATGCGGTGATCACACTGTCACAATTTAGAATGCTACATACTTGAACGAACGAACCGGTTGCTTTTTACCGCTTTAATATGCTACAGGTATCTCTGATAAGCGTAATTCTATCTATCGAGAAATTGCCCAATGTCACTGCTGTTTATGTTCTAATGATGTCCATTTGGAATGTTCATAACTTCTACAGTACTAGTCTCTTTCGTTACATTTGAATAGCCACACATAACCTCGTGAAACATCGCACGATTTTCAAAAAGATGCAATACAACGACAGGCAAAATGCGAAGGTGTATCGTATATAAAGTTCATTTTAATAATAATGAATATACGAGCAGCATTTTAATTTATTTTGTTTTAGACGAACCGCCCGTGCTACACGATTCCAGCAAATTAGAGAAACATTACCTTTTTGAAACTCGTCAAGTATTAGTAGACAGTTAAACGGACCTCGTGCTCTTCGCTAAACACTTGCTATTCAATTTGAATCTCACCTGCGATAGAAAATGTGTAATTTCGTTGTTATTGGTGTGTTACGTTGCATTTAAAAGTTTATGTTACATTCAACGTGTGTTCTACTTCGTTGTTAGTTGTCGGTACTATATTTTGCAGAACTTGAAACCTTATAGAAATTAGAATGCAAAGTATCCTTTATTTGACAACGGGTAGTTCTTCCATGAAGAGTGTTCGGTTCGTGTTATATGAAACGATGATTAGACGAGAAGAATACCCGGACAAGATACAAGGGAAGCAGATTAATGCGGTGTCAATTGATAAAGTGGAACAGCTTCAAGTACACGTTGAAAACGTTTTCTTCATTTTTGGCAGGGGCTCAAGGCTCTCAAGTCCGACTCGATTACATATGTACGTCGCTAGTCGAGAGCCCTTCGGATTGTATTTTCAGACTTTATGACAAAAATAATCGAGCACTGACTCATTTCAAAGCATCATAATTTCGTCGATTTTCCGCGAGCCTCGAAGAGTCGGTCTCTCACGATTTCACGGAAATTCCACTTGTATTAGTAAAACACGATTACGATGACGTTGGTCTTTAGAATTGATTCGACGTTTTCGACAATACTTTGTTGCTAAAATTCAAGACGTCCTCGTTGTCTAGGAATTATATTTGACAATTGGCTCGATAAACCAAACCCGAGTTTAGGATTCTTACGAATTCTACTAGTAAAACTATCGTCACCAATTCTCCCTTCTGAACTAATTTTTCTATCGATATTGACTCATGCTTCTTTTTGTCATGTAACTGAATTTATCAATGGTAAATCGTGGGTATCTGATAATTTTTATCGGTAATTTAGTGCGACCCTGAAATACTTGCTGGCTAATAGTTGGTATTTTTTGAAGTGATAATTTTAAAGAGGTGCTCTAGCTTAATTATTTGTTGCACATATCAATCTTTACAAGTATAGTTAAGTGTTTGTGTTTTGCCAATCAGATATTTTTTCGTGCATGTTGAAAAGTAGCCTTTCAGAAACATATGACACGTTAGCAGTAACAATTTAAGGCACATTAATGTCTTCTACTTATAAGAATATTGTGGTATGGAACGCTGCTTCAACTATGAAATCTATTCATTTTATTCGTACGTCTAACGAGTTCGTCCATCGCCGTTCATCGATACATCCGAACTCGAATGGCGTCCTTCAGGCTTTGCACGTTTTTATCGTGTGATAAATGATAGGTAAATAGATAGTAGCGTATACGGGAAACGAAGTTGCCGACTAGTTCGTACGGGACGGTTAACTGTATAATTTCTCGTAAAATCTTGGCCACTTGGACAGCTTTCAAAGCATTCGCGCACGAAATATTCTGGAAAACAGTGGTGGGCATTTTGTTTCTTTCGTTTTTAAATGGGTTACATAGCTTGACGCATTCGTAACTTCTACGCGAATCTTTAGTGAACATTTTCAAGCGAAACTTCAATTCAATCTATTAGAATTTTTACAATATTGCCAACTGGCCTGGAAAAAAATTCTCATCACTGGATACGACATATTCGTGCATCTGCCAATTTCGCGGATGTCAATTACATCACAGGCTTTCGTTGACGTGCTCACTTTGCAGTTTTCATTGTAAATCGTATCGTTTTCGTGGAACAGAGAAAGTGGTGGACGTTGCAACTCACACGTATACAATAAAAATGTATCGCGTCATGAAGGATCGTCGAAGGCTGGAGAGCCGCTTATCTAAGCGCTATTGCTAACTGGTTACCAGTATCGCGGTGTGATAGGGAGAGACTTGTTGCGGTTCGTCAGGAGTATACACGGTGACCATGTACATATACTTTCTTCATCGTTTCCATTCGCATGACGTCTGACGTTGCCGTATAAATAGACGATATTTATAGATAACGCACGCGGTCGAAGACGTGCGTTACTAGTGTAGATCATACCCGAGGTCTATATCCTCTGATCGACTGCCACTTCCAAAGTTAACACTGCTGCTTAACCTTTCACGATTATAACTTTACCTGCTATTGTGCGGGATTTTTCAGACTATTTGCACCTTCTCGACGCTTCGTGCGTTTTTCCTCGAGACCTTCTCACCAGAGCGCACTATAGATATTTTACTAGTACGCATTACCGTAATGATATTTGCAATAGAAATAGAAAGGCGAGTAATCGACAAGGGGAAAAAAGTAAAAAAAGAAAGAGTTCAACGCGAGCGCATCATTTCAATTTCGTTTCGAATCGTACAGGGTAATCGGTCACGAGGGAGAGAAATATTTTTAGAAACGTCCTCGTGTTCTCAAGAATGAATTCATCGGTTTTACTGTGGGCGACGACAGACGAAGCGTGCGGAATCGAGCAGGATTGCGAACGCAACGATCACCGAATCGATCGATTTCCTCCTCGATGCGAGGAGTAGATCGTTAACCTTTGAGAAGTTTAGGCTGTGCGCCAGATCTTAGATTGGAATCGGGTGACCCACACATGCTATGCACCACTAAGTCAATTGTTATGCGATGATAAATTCCGTACGTGCAAACTCGTCTACCGTCTGTTTATTGCGGGCCACCGCGATTACACTTCGTTAAAATGCAACCGACACCCACGATTCACTATTTTCAGCCGATTGTTCGCCGCTCGCATAGGTCACGTGATAATTACATGAAATATTTGCGTTCCACGTAACAACCAACCGGTTGAAATGGTTTCTTGAATGAATTTTCAGCATTTCCGTCCGCTCCCTTGATACTCTCCGCAAATAGAACGTCGACCATGATGTTTTCTGTTACGTATGATCCTCCAGACTTATTTTCGGCGGCCGCGTCGCGGCATGAGCAGCTGAACGACGAACACGACGGCAGAATAACACCTTTTTCCTTGAATTCTTCGAATTCAACTGCTCGCTTCTCCCGCCCATAGTATCGGAAGGGCCAGACGGACCGAGCCAGGCCGGGCCGGCCCGGGCCGGGACGCAGTCATTGAATTTCAATTTGCTCACAACCAGAAGCCTCTGGTTAGGTACGGTTAGCCTCTGGTGTAGCCACACGACAGATTCCATCCAAGACATTACAAGTAGGACAATGTTGCTAGTCGAGTAAAGCCAGTAGAAGTGAAAGGTGCAAGCATCATTTATTAGACAGAACTGTTACTATATGGTTCGGTTTAACCGACGATATCGCCACCTGCCTAACTCGCTTGCCAGCAACACCTGCTCCTTATCCTTTATTCCAATGTCGGAATAGCAGACAACGTTGGGAACCGTCAACGTACTCGTAAGCTGATTCTCGTAAATATCTTTTACAACAGCTTTCTTGTATGACCGTCACGAGTACCCTAAGTAAAGTGTGCCAATTTCGTTTCTTGGTCCACTCCGGCTCTCGTATTTTATGTTACATTTTGGCCTTTATGTTAATTTGTGTATTTCAAGGTAAAGCGAAGTCGCGCAAAGAGGGATCATTAATTGGACGCAACCATGTCCGATGATTACTTCACCGTTCTAGAGAACGTGTAGTAGTTAACTGATCGCATCGTCTGATTATTGTTAATCGAAAGTTAAGGTACTTAGAGTGGGGCTGGAATGTCTACTTTATCATGGAACAACGACGACACTGATGAAAAAGAAATTCAATGCCAGAATTTAAGAATAGATGGAATCGTGTAAACGTGTTCATGCGTGTATACGCGCGATATTTAGAATTTGGGTTACGTTGGGTTGAATTATGTGCATCGTATTTAGGGCGTTTCGTGCTTAACTGCATTTATTTTTAGTATTACCGCAGCAGCAGGTAGCTGTAAAAATTTTTGCGCAGAGGCAGACAAGTTTACGCACGTTCTCACACGTGTTCGAATTGGCTACGTTATTAATTAGCATATGATGTAGTCGATGAAAAATTGGTTCACTTGCGCGTCAGCATAAAATGCTCGTCGGTCAAACGACGATGATGATAATGATAACAATGAATGATCAGGAGCATTATGTTATAAATAGAAATCGTCTGTTTATACCATCTCGTTAATGCACCGCCATGTGACACATACCTTTCCTTTATAGAAGGATGGGAATGAGTCACAAATGTAAGTAAAGAAAGCGTCGTAACGGCATTGTTATTCTACGCACCTATTACCATTTCTTTATATCACTCTATTTTTCGTTTCTTTCCTTTTTCCTTTTTTTTTTTCTCTTTTTCTTGTAACAGATACCGTTTACATAACGTAGTTTATTTCCCCGGTGTCACGTGCTCTATTTTCTGCTTTATTCGTATTGTGCAGTTGCGAGATTGGGTCAACATGAATAAAGTATATTTAAAAAAAAAAAAAGAAACGTTGGAAGTTTATAGAGAAATGCATATACCACAGTGGTAGGCGTCGCGTTGAAAACAAAAATTACGACATTGTAATAGGCTTGTGAATTTTCGGGGTACGAGGTGGGGGCGTATTTTTTAAATAGAATTTGGTTGCCAGGAGAAATGCGATCGCGGTTCTCGTATAGATATAGATCGGATGTTTTATCAGCAAATAAATTCAACCATGTTGTAATATTTGGGTCGTTTTACGATTCCGAGCAAGATCCATGGATTGGTATGCATTCATCATACAATCCACTTTGTTATCCCTTTTTCCTTTTTCCTAATTTTTTTATCTTTTGATTAATCTCTTATCCGTCACTGCTTTGACACTACAATGGGACTCTAACGGAGCCCACTTTTTTCGTTGGAAAAGGTTGATGAGAAAATCAGAAAATACCGAATGATTTATGTCCAAACGATAAATATGAAAAAATGTGAGAATATCGTGAATTTAATGTTCTCGTTGGAAGTGAAACGGATCAGAATGTTTTCGAAATGCTTAGGCGCTCAACGCGGGAGGAGTCAATGTTTTACAAATAGATCTTAGAGCGCTCGTAGAAGTTAAGGTGGCTCATGTCCAATTTTGGCCGGTCTCGCTTCACGTTACCCGTATTAAATTTCAGGCAATATTTCTCTCTCTCTCTCTCTCTCTCTCTCTCTTGTCTTCGCCGATAAAAAAAATTCAAGACTGCTGAGATCGCGATTCTTTTTTCACGTTCTCACGCATTTTGCGACAACGTAGACTTAACTATAAAGCTGGTTCTTATGATTATCCTATTATCAAGTGAACGAGTATATAACATTTCTTTAAATTGATCACACATTACATTCTCGAAAATGTAATTTACCGTCAATACAATAATAAAATTTATGCATATACATGTGTATACATGGATGCCTTTTATTTTTCCAATTTTTATTTGTTCGAAAATGCCGAAAATTATTTTGTCACTTGTACGTCCAAGTGCACTTGAAAGAAAAGTTCACAAGTTACTTTACAATAACGATACGTTCCGATTAATAAAATTCTTCGAAAATATTTATCTTATATTAAAACGACATATTGCAATTTTAGTTTCGTCTGTGCATGATACTGCATGAGCACTCTCGACGAGTAATTATGATAAAATGACCAAGAATTCTTATCACGCGTCAAAGTACATCGAATTTTATGAGTTTGTGATATCAAAGGTTTGAAAATCTTTAGTCTGGGCAATAGGAAGCAAAGTTTAAGAACCGGGACAGAAGATATATATAGCAGGAGCGATTGGGGTCGTTACTAAAATATACACTAAGCAGCAGTCAAGCTCAATTCCCCATTTTAAATTCTTCTTAGCCATGAAACATTGCATTATTTAATCGAAAGTCAACTTATATGTGTACCGTTAAGATATTACGGCCAAAAAATGAAGAATAAGTAACGATTCTTGTGATATTTGAGCAGTATTTATTCATCAGCATAATATTAATTCTTATTCGTGCGTTCGTTGTAAATGTTTGCAGACATTCACAGCATGGTGCAATTCGCATCTTCGTAAAGCGGGAACCGCCATCGAATTGATCGAGGAAGACTTTAGAAACGGGCTAAAATTGATGCTGCTGCTCGAGGTAATTTCTGGCGAGACTCTTCCAAGACCAGACAGGGGTAAAATGAGGTTCCACAAGATCACAAATGTGAACAAAGCTCTTGCTTACATTGCCAGTAAAGGCGTGAAATTAGTTTCTATCGGAGCAGAGGGTAAATACCTTGATTGTTCGCATGATTCCTTTTAGACGTTACACAAACTTGACGTAAATTCTAACTTGCATTGTTGTTCCATTCTTAATAGAAATCGTCGATGGCAACTTGAAGATGACTCTGGGTATGATTTGGACCATAATTTTGAGATTTGCTATTCAAGACATCTCTGTGGAGGAGATGACCGCTAAAGAGGGTCTTCTGCTATGGTGCCAACGCAAAACTGCACCGTACAAAAATGTCAATGTACAGAACTTCCATCTATCATTCAAGGATGGCTTGGCGTTCTGCGCCCTTATTCACCGGCATCGTCCCGATCTTATCGATTACAATAAACTTAGCAAGGATAATCCTTTAGAAAATTTGAACACTGCCTTCGATGTTGCTGAGAAGTATCTCGACATTCCTCGTATGTTAGATCCTGATGGTAAGTATACATACTCGATCATTGAAAAATGTGTCTTCCTACTTTCTACTTTAACGTCGATTATCGCGAAATATACATTGTTTGTTAACTACTACTACTACTGCTACTTTAGGCATTTTCTTGGGGTTCAGGATGGAACTACGATCTCAAATGAGCTTTTTTCATGTCATACAAACGTATAGATTCTTAATATTCTATTCCCTTAATACCATATAGATTTGATCAACACACCCAAGCCAGATGAGCGTGCAATCATGACGTACGTGTCCTGCTACTACCACGCGTTCCAAGGTGCTCAGCAGGTCAGCGTAAAAGAAATGCGTGTTGTTCCCTTATTTTTGTTACCAAAAGACCCGTGCTATCTTCAACTAATACAATACGACCGTATGCTTCCCCTAACAGTGTTTGATCATGCTAATTTCATCACGTCACTATTATAATTGTTTTGTGCTCGGATACCACGTGTATACTCATACAACGAATCTTGACTATCGCAAAGACTTTCTTCATTTATTATCTGTATATGTGTTCTTTTTCTTTTTCTTTCATTCTTACTCCCATAGTGTTGTATGTACAACCAATTTATGATGTTATTAACTAGAGACGATTATTGTATTTTCGATACATCAACGAATCTGGAAATAACGAGATCAAAAGTTTACTTCTTGATAGAAAAGAGCAAAATTTTCAGTGGACACATTCGTGAATACGTTAACACTGCATGGTTTGAGTCTCTTCGAATGTGTTTTTCTAGATATGCGAAATACGCCAAAGTCTGATGCGAGGGCTGTGATGACCTACGTTTCCTCATACTACCACTGTTTTAGCGGTGCACAAAAGGTGTGTGTTTGCATTTGAAATTAACCAATAGCAGATAAGAGCCAAATTGTACCCGTGTGTGTTTTACTCGATGAATCTCGGCTTAATCAACCGAGGTAAAAGAATACATATACACTTGCCGACAAAAGATAAGAAACAAAGCAGTTGCTCGGTAATTCTATAACACATGTTTTATTTTTTCACTTCTATATGCTGTTAAATAAACAAAATATGAAAGGTATATCATTTTTAGTATAAATATTTTACAATAAGTATAGTTGAATACAAAAGAGTAAATTTTTATTAACGCATTAATAACGTGTCGGAAATCCCTTGGATCGTATTACTGCTTGACATTTTGACGGAATTAACTTTATCAATTTTATACAAAGTCCTATTGGAATTTCGGACCATATTTTTGTTACTTTTTGCATTAATTCGTCTTTGTTGCTATATATTTGCGTTTTTAATTGTCGTGCAACATAGTCCCACATGTGCTCTATAAGATTTAAATCTGGTGACTGACTGGGCCACTTAATAACATTAACATTTTCTTCTGCTAAAAACCCTTTTTCTAACTTGGAAGCATGTTTAGGGCCATTATCATGTTGAAATGACCAATCCGTACACAATTTTTCTCTTGCAAATGGTAGCATATGATTTTGCAATATATTTTTATATAAAAATCTGTCCATAATATCTGTAATTTGGATTAATGGACCAGTACCATTAATCGAAAAGCAACCCCATACCATGACATTTCCACCTCCAAATTTGACTGTTGGTTTGAGGTATTTAATGTTAAACCTTTGGCCAGGCAGTTGTCCCACATTGTTTCTAGCATCATTATCGAACAGATTGAACTTGCTTTCATCACTCCACAAAATCTTTGCCCATTGATCATCTGTCCAATTAATATGCTCCTTAGCAAATTCTACTTGTGACTTTCTGTTTTTTGGTGAAATATATGGTTTCTTTGCTGCTTTACATGCAAATAGATTATTTTCACGCAATCGACGACTTATAGTCTTGGTGCTAATTTTTCAAAGTTTTAATTCACTTTTTATTTGTGTAGTTACTATAAAATGGATTAATTTTTGAACATTTTATAATTCTACGATCCATCCTTTCACTGGTTTTTCGAGGTCTACCTCTCCGCAATGCTGTTTTAACAGTATTACTTTGTTGAAATCATTGTACAATTTTTGTTACTACACAACGGTTCACATTAAATGTTTTAGCAATGTCTATTTTTTTTGTCCTTCATTGAACATTTTAATTATAACTTGTTTCTCCGCTTCTGTTAAATAATGCCTACTTGCCATTTTTATAATAATTAAATCGTTGTGTCACGTTTGATGTTATACATGTAACTGACTAAGCGTCAATATGAAATAAAAAAAAAAGATGGATAACAGTCACCTATCGAGAGAAACAATATTGTCGATTATGGTTTCTTAACTTTTGTCTGCACGAAAATAGCACGTTTCTGTTATTAAATATAGAATATTACCACTATATAGTATATCAGAAATAATTTTTATCAATTTCTAATCTATGAAGTCGTAGCTTTCTCATGGTATAAGTAATATTAATTTATTCCCGTTATATAATGATAAATATTGACTAAATTATGTGAAATTGATTTGTCTCTTAACTTTTGTCGGCAAGTGTATGTGTATGTTTGTGCCAAAACTGCGACTTTACTGTACCGAAACATCGAAAAATATACCTTTTTTCGTGAAACAAATGTCTGTTGCTTTTCATTGTAGGCAGAGACTGCCGCCAATAGAATCTGCAAAGTTCTGAAAGTGAACCAAGAAAATGAGAGGCTCATGGAGGAGTACGAGCGGCTGGCATCCGATTTACTGGAATGGATACGGCGAACTATGCATTGGCTGGCTAGTCGTCAAACTGATAATTCCCTTGCTGGTTGTCAGAAGAAACTAGAGGAGTATAGAACGTATCGTCGTAAACATAAGCCACCGCGTGTTGAACAGAAAGCCAAACTCGAAACGAACTTCAATACCTTACAAACGAAACTGAGACTGAGCAATCGGCCAGCATACATGCCAACAGAAGGAAAAATGGTCTCCGACATTAACAAGGCTTGGAAAGGTGATGAAAAGTCATGATATTTGTTTATCCAAACATCATTTCGACAAAACGTTTCAACTGGGTACCAAAACTATTTCGATTTCGGATTATAGGTTTGGAGTTGGCAGAAAAATCATTCGAAGAATGGCTGTTATCGGAAATGATGCGCCTGGAGCGTCTGGAACATCTGGCTCAGAAATTCAAGCACAAAGCCGATGTTCACGAGGAATGGACCGCCGGGAAAGAAGAGATGCTCACGTCGCAGCATTTCCGACAGTGCAAACTTAACGAACTGAAGGCTTTGAAAAAGAAACACGAAGCCTTCGAATCCGATCTTGCGGCTCATCAGGATCGTGTTGAACAGATAGCTGCTATCGCTCAAGAGCTCAAGTAATATTACAGAGTACACGATGATTACTATCGACTATGTTTCAGAACTATGAGTATCGTCCATAATCGATCATTTCTGTTTTATTAGTACCTTGGAGTATCACGATAGTGCCTCCGTTAACGCTAGATGTCAACGAATTTGCGATCAGTGGGATCGCTTAGGTACCCTTACTCAACGCAGGCGCCAAGCGTTAGACGAGGCCGAGCGCATTCTCGAAAAGATCGACATTTTACACTTGGAATTTGCTAAACGAGCTGCTGTAAGTTTCTCTTATTTGTATGTCGTTGTCGACACACGACAATTTTATCGAGATTATTCTATATCGAGATCTATGACAATTATGTTATCGTTTTTCTAGCCGTTCAATAACTGGTTGGATGGAACCAGGGAAGATCTAGTGGATATGTTTATTGTTCATACGATGGAGGAAATCCAAGGTTTAATGGATGCTCACGTTGCATTTAAAGCAACTCTTGGCGAAGCTGATAAGGAATACAATGCTATCGTGGGATTAGTACGAGAGGTTGAATCAATTGTCAAACAGTTTCAAATCCCTGGAGGTCTTGAAAACCCGTACACTACTCTTACCGCTCTGGTAAGTAAATCTTATTAATGTTTTTCGTAGATTTTATTATACATATATTCTAATGTTGTTCACAACAGGATCTTACAAAGAAATGGAGCGATGTCAGGCAACTTGTACCACAACGTGATGGTACGCTGCAAGCGGAACTTCGTAAACAACAGAGTATCCTTTTTTTACTTATTGCTTTTACATCATAGAGTAATTTTCAGTTATTTCCCTTAATCAAGTGAATAGACAATGAATTACTTCGACGACAATTTGCTGAAAAGGCTAATGCCGTTGGGCCATGGATAGAACGTCAATTAGACGCTGTTACAGCCATTGGTCTCGGTCTTCAAGGTACTCTGGAAGATCAGCTACATCGTCTGAAAGAATACGAACAGGCTGTCTATCAATATAAAGCTCATCTTGAAGAATTAGAGAAGATTCACCAAGCTGTCCAAGAAGGCATGATATTCGAGAATCGATACACCCAATATACGATGGAAACGTTACGAGTCGGTTGGGAGCAGTTGTTAACTTCGATAAATCGTAACATTAACGAAGTCGAAAACCAAATTCTCACCAGAGATTCTAAGGTAGCGTAAGGATATTTATCAGGGTTGTTGATTAACACGTTGACTGCCACACCAAATTTACATATTGCTCTCAGGGGGCACAAGAAAATTTACATTATTCTAAGCATAATATTATATTATGCTTATTATTCTTTATTATTATTTTTTTTTTAATTCAAAATAATATCTAGTTGTGATATTCGAAATTTTTAGTTGACGATATTCATTTTATTTTAATTATTCTAAACATTTGAGGCACTCCGGTCACTGATGACCACCGTGGCCCCTTCGAGAAAACAATCCCCTCCGGTCACAGGTGACCAACATGGCAATCAACGTGTTAATAATGAAACTCATTTAATATCATAATAAATGCCGTAATTTGTATTATGCAGGGTATTACGCAGGAACAACTTAACGAATTCCGTAGTAGTTTCAACCACTTTGACAAAAATCGTACAGGCAGGTTGGCTCCTGACGAATTCAAGTCCTGTCTTGTTTCTCTCGGTTATTCCATTGGAAAAGATAGGCAAGGTGACATTGACTTCCAGCGCATCTTGGCCATTGTTGATCCAAATAATTCTGGTTATGTACACTTTGATGCGTTCCTAGACTTCATGACACGCGAGTCTACAGACACCGACACGGCTGAACAAGTTATCGATAGTTTCCGTATACTCGCTGGAGATAAGGTGCGCATATATTTAAATCCATCAAAATAATTTCATTTCCCCTTAAATGTTAAAATTAATCATCGTTAACTTCTGTTTTCCAGCCATACATTTTGGCAGACGAATTGAGGAGGGAACTGCCACCTGACCAGGCCGAGTACTGTATTCAGCGAATGCCTCCTTACAAAGGACCGAATGCAATTCCTGGAGCATTAGATTATCGTTCTTTCTCCACCGCTCTATACGGTGAATCCGATTTGTAAAGATATACATATGAAAAATGAAGAAAACATTTGGACGATTCCCATTTTAAAACGCAGGCCAAATGATATCTGAAACATACGTTTTGGTACTCTAACGCGCACCTTTACAAAATAGAGAATAGCTACGCGATCCAGGAATTATTGTCTAGCCTCAAGACTATAACGGTATAATATTCGAAGCGTTTCAGAAAAAGGGGCTCTAATATATTTATACGTGTCACGAGTGTAAGCAATTCTTAATTCGTGATATTTTTTTAACGTAAAGGAACCTTACAGCCATACCGATAAATTTTCATACACCATTTTGGTATTTGCATTAGGATGATTACCTCCATTACGAAGCAAAATCGACGTACAGCTCTCGATGATGGTCGTCCGTACTTAAATAAGTCTGTACAGTGACAATAAATATTTAATTTAGATACCTTAACGTTAAAAGAATAGCACAATCGAATATACAACAGGTTCTTATAGAACGTTCGCTTCTTGCCTATGTCTACGATGAGTCCTATAATGAGTAAGTTAATGTTTCAATTGTATATAAACATCCCCGAGAACGTCACACGAGTACCAATAATAGAGAAAATAATAAGCATTTCCTTTTCGCAAGCGTTCCAGAAAAGAAGAGAACGACGAAACTGTGCGGAAGTGTATGTATAATTTATGCTAAAACAAAAGAAACGTGATCGAACAATTTATCGCGCACAATGTGTTGTAGCGTGCGTCGAAATAGTAGCCTTACATATCACGTTAAAAAGGAATTACACTTGTTGAGAACTCTTGCATTACATTTGAAGAAAAAGGATATTGAAATTGTAATTGTCCTTTAAAATATAATTTTATTTCTTTTCTGGACGCAATGTCCGATTCGTCTAAATGAAATGGTAATATTAGTTGTGCTTAAAAAAAATTATACGAGTGTTGTACAGTTCCTATCTATGTTCCTGCAGGTCAGTGGGTTTTTCTTTTTCTTTTTGTCACCAAGTCAAGTTTTCTGAGAGGAAAGAGAAGATAGATGCTCGACTAAAACGTAAGGCACAAATCGATGTTCGTAAAATATACGAAAGTTCATGACATATGTATAAATTAAGAACATTAACGATATAAACGAATTTTTGGAGAAGAGTCCTTACATACATACATATCGACTTTCTCGCTAAGGATTCAGAAAATATAACACTCGAAAAATCGAACACAACGTTCATATTTTTTTATAATAAGCGGCGTAAACGAATTTGTAAACGAAAAGCCGCGTTTATACTTCGCAAAACGTAATATTAAATGAAGAAACGCGAAACGATGCTAAAGAAAGCAAATTATTTATTTATTTGAATTAAATGATTATTTATTATTGTCCCGATAATTAATTACGGTAGTAAAGAAAGCCACTTTTTCAAAGTATTTATTTTTATAAATATTTGAGAGAAGTGATAAACAAAAAGCCACTGTAATATAAAACCTATTATGTAAAATTTCTAAATAGTAACCGTCATTTTCTTTGTGTCATGTGTATTAGACCACAATCTAGACTCACAAGCCTAAAAAGATCATTTAATCGAAAAATCATTATCGTCCAAATCATTGTTATCTAAGCTAATGAAAGATGCTCGTGTGTGAAATGCAATTATTTATTCGCGAGAAGGAAAAAGTTTGTTGTAACTTTTTTCTGCTTGGAACTTAATGCTTTTACAGTATCTATCTTAACGCGTTTTACGAGTTCACTTAACTTCTCGTATATTTATTTTTGCTAAAAGAAATTATATTGGGCTTTTTACAAAGATGAACAATATATTATAAAAAAAAGTGGGAAGTATATCTGCCGATCTACTGAACAGTATACGTTTAGACACAAGAACACACACATGCACTACTCGCGTACACACATATATACATCAGATTAAAATTATAAACATTTTTGATGTCGCAACGTAATGGATTTGAAACGAGTACGTACGTGTAACAATGTATCGTATAGCTGAAAGGAATTTTGTTTGAAAATTCGATCATTTTTTCATATTATACACGCGTATACATATATGATTATAATTCTCATAATTTTAAACCGTTTAATGATGTAACTTTTACAATTTTAATTTTGATCTGAACATCAGACCGACTATCTCTCGTATTGCATATTACACTTATCGACTACCTGCTTTACTCTTGTTTTATCAGTTTCATCTTCCTCGATTAGTTTAATAGCAGAAAAACAAACATTGTAAACTGAAACTACGAGAGAAAATAAAAAGAAAAAAAAATGAAAAAATTTTGTATTGAAAAAAATAAAGCAACAAGATTGGGTAGTTGTTTCTAACGTATCCTAGTATGCGTCATAACAAAGGATATTTAAATAACAATTTCTAACAGTGTGGTTAAAAATGGATACTTTTATTCCAAATACAAGATGTATCATGTATATACTATATGTAGATATATAAATCCGATTCAGTTCTACGTTCGAGCTTGGGAAAGCTACAATACCTATACAGATATACTCGATTAAGCGCGTGTTGTCCGCCGTTACATGTACTATAATATAGTGCTTAAGTTATTTCGTCGGTACGCCATGCAATAACGTAAGCTAAACCTTATATATTTATATACAATAACTATCATATTTACAGAGAAATTGTTTTAACGATAATATCACCACGCTTCGTTTCCGTTAGTTATGGCTGACATGCGTTTGTAATGATTAAAACCAACTTTTTCCGATTCATCATACAATTAATCGATCTTGATGTTGCGTTATGGGTCATAATATTTCGTGTTTGATCCACCCGTTTCACTGGACATACTTAATGTATTCACGCGAGATTTCCAAGACAACGTTCAACGATGCATATTTTAGAAGGAATTACTCCTTACAGCCAAGTCCAGCGGACCAATTGCAAATACCACCGACTGGATCAAAGGATAGTTTGTCAGGGCAGGTGTATTCGGCCCCGATTACCAGACCATTTACCATTTTCGCGCAAGTGACGAACTTTTTACACGAGTACGGATGGGGGAAATTGCCTTGATCCAGACATCGAAAGGTTCCTTTACTCGTTAGAAAGAGTTTCCCGTTGAAGGTGGACTTTCCAACCACCGACTCCTCATCGTCCTCGTAATAATCGTAGTCGATAATAGGCGGTCGTCTAGGTCTTGTCGTTACGTTTTGTTGAGGTTTATCCTTCGTCCTCGGCTTCTGTCGATTTCTGAGAGCCGGCAAGAACCTGAGGGTACTCCTATTTGTTGTCGCGTCTGTTCTAGGTGCAACCGTAGTGCTTATTTTACGCCTGAGGGCGTTCCTTAACGGCGGTCGACCTGATCGTGTAACTCTATTAGTTTATTCGTTCTCCAAGCAACAAAGAGACTATGAGGGAATCCCGTTAGCACCCGCGGAAGAACATAAAAGATGCACAGAAGTACGAAACATGGCTGCAGGCACTTAGGGATGCAGACGAAGAGGAAAAGAAGAGAGTATCGATGTGCATGTAAGAGTTATAATTGCATTAGTATTTGTATCGGAAGAAGACACGGTGGTGTGAGAAACAGGCGAAGAACGTGGTTGCATAGATAAGAGAAGATGCATAAGTAGAGACAGCAACAAAAATTAGCGAAACAGGTGAACGATTATGAAAAGTCGACGAGGTAGAATTATCAGATATTGGTTAGCTTCCACTAGACGTGTCCCTCCCATCCCTCCCGCCCTCCCACCAATGATGTACCTCTTTAAAATAAAATGTGATTAGTATTCGGCGGTAACCTTGGTTCCTCAAAGGTTTCGCACTGTTTAGGCAACAGAGTGGTAGAGATACACGAATTATAATTATAGTAAATGTTTTCATATCGATTGATTCGTCAGAAAGAGCATGAGAGAATATATGTAGTAAGTCGAAGATTGCAATGCGATGAGAAATTATGTTCACATGTGATTCATGAACAAGAAGTGAATATTATGGGACGTGATCGTTTTAGTTTATATAAATTAAGAAGTCTGATGGTGGAGTATTTAACAAGTTGAGTGTACCGGTGGCTGATGACTGCGGAGACGGTGGTGGATCTGCCAAAGTCACCGCGATTTCCTGTGCCCTACTACTTTGATCGATATCTTTTTCATTTTTCGGTGTTTCTGTTATTTCATCCGCAGCATCTAAAACAATATAAAATTCTCTTATAGATTTTTTCTATAAACATTCTCTTAAAACTGTTATCTTATTTGAGCATCAGAGACATTTGAATTTGAAAGTTTGGCGCACTTGTTCTGCGCAGTTGCAGAAGCGTGGTGGGAAGCGACGCAGTCCCTATGTGTCGTTCTGCGTCGCAATAGTTGGGGGATAGTCGCGGAACGCGGTACGGTTAACTTGCGAAATTGACAACTGTACGTTATGTGCTCATTTTACATCATCTTGTCGCTACTTACCGATTTTTTTGTTAACAAGAGTAACGTTTCCGTCAGTTGGACGAATTTTTCGATGATTCGCAAGTGCGTTCGGTGTTTTGCTTTGCAATGGTGCCAAAGTGATCGTAGTTGGTTTCCTCAATCTGGATGACGGCAAATTTCCTGGTGTACGAGACGCTACTGTATTCTTCGAGGAATTCACCTGTACGTGGAGCACACGCAGATTGTATTTCGAGTCGATTCACCGGAATAGTAAGTACAATTTTGCGATTAGACTATGAAAATGTCAGTTGGCAGTCAATTGGTATAAGTGAACGACAAAAGCTTATATTACGTAGTATTTTGTACATTAAGAATAAAATTGTAAGTGATAAAGTATCACTATGGACGATTAAAATATCACATAAAAGGTACATATACATATCTTAGAATATACATGCTTTTCTAGCAGTTGTCTTGTGTATCATGGCGCGAAAAAATTTTGAATTCAAACTCGACCAAAGTTAGTTCTTCGTAGATGGCGCCTTAGAAAGAATGTCAGTAACGTATCAAGTTTACTTATAACAGAAGAGTGACAATACCACCTTTTACTTAAACTTTTAAAACTTATACCGATTGAACTGTCTTATATTTATAAAATAATTTTGCTCGAGCTAGAAAGCACTAAAACGATACACAAGAAGAAGGTAAAAAAAGAATAATTAGAAAATAAGCGCGCTACATAATAGTGGCACTTCATTCTTGTGTTAAATTGCTGAATTTTATAGCTAAGCATTAACCCTTTGCACTTTTTACTATATAAGCATCAGTAAATAAAGGTTGCAAAAAACGTTTCATAAATATAGGTGTATACACACACGCGCGCACGTATATTTATGAAACGTTTATATATATATGTATATATGTATGTATGTATAAAAGTGTGTAGAGCACAAAGGGTTAAGATACATCGTAAGATGGAATAGAGTAAGCGTAATACGCAGGCGCATTGAACATGCGGCACGCGCTTCGTAGAAGGGAAATTTGTGTTAATTGAATTGAGAATAGATAAACCAGCGGTAGATGATGATAAGAACGCATGATGGCAGGCTAGATTCCCGATGAATATTTCCTCCAACGATCCGTTTCTAGATACTTTTTCTTCCTGTTGTTATACATGTATGATTCTTTCGTTAATCCCTGTCGTAGAAGAATCAACTCCTCTTTTTTTTGTTAGGCATGAAAGGAAAAGCGATCGACTCACGCTTTGTTATGCTTTATAAAAAAAATGATCGACTAGCAGCTTCGCTTTTTTGTCTCGTTTAAACTGTAAATTACAGCGAGGTCAGATCGTTCCGAAGTTTGTATTTTCGGTTCGTAAACATTGCGTGGCGTCTCACTTTATTTAGTTAAGTGTAAAGAAAGAGCGAGCGATAGCATCTGAGTTAGCGGTTGTATTTGAATGTTTTAAAAAGATTGTTATACTTCGTTCTTATGTCATCAAGTCCTAAATGTAGGAAATTTAAAGTCTAAACTGACCTCAGGTTCGAATTGATTGATATTCTCCTCGATCTGAAGGTGTTCTTCATTGGAGACGGATTCGTTTGTCGCCTGTTTCGTCTCTTCTTCGTTCGAGCCTTCTCGATCGTTTCGATTTCCTATTGAACTTGTTTCCGTTTTATTCGTAGAAACGGTTATTATTTCGTTTCGTTCCGACTTCTCCTTGGCTGTTTTCTTCACCGTAATTGGTTTTTCATGATCGCTGTGATTTACCACGTAAGTGGTCGTCGCTTCGTAAACAGAGTCGTTGGTGACTGTAGCAGAAGTAGTAGTAGTAGTAATAGCTGGTCTACCTTGTCGTCGACGTCCTCTGTAAGTGATTACGCGACGACGAGGATATTGCATGCTCTCCACTTGTGTTTTCGAAGTTTCTTGCTCCTGATTATTTAATGGTTTTGTGAAATGACGATTGTGCCCGTGTCCTTGAGATCTACTACCAAACTCGTAACCAACATAAGGTTCGATATTCTGTCGGCGAAGATTAGGTTTCTTCTCCGTCCTTTTAACAATGGTGGTGGAAGGGGGAAGCGTTGTGGTTAAAAATATCGTAATACACTTGGATTCTTCGTCGTTTTTCGTGGAACTTTTGTTCGTCGAATAATTCTCTTCGAAATCTGTAATGTTTTTCTCGTTGTGTGTTTGTAATCCTGCTTCTGTCACAGATTCGAATGAACGTATTTTAGTCTGAGTTAGTAAAGAATTATACGATGTATCAAAAGTGAGATTGGACTGGATTTGTTCAGTTATGGAACTCGAGGTTGAATCAGTACTTGTAACAGATAGGGTGGTATCATCGTTAGCTAAGATTTCTGTAGTTGTAGACTTAACAGATTCCGGAATCGTCGAAAACTCGGATTTAATAGGGGATGGAGAAGTAAATGTAACAGTTGCAGTAGTAATTTCACTCGAAGGCATGAGATTTTCTTCAGTGGCTTCTTTTTCAAGATCAGTAACTGTTTTTCTACCTATATCAGGTTGTTTCGTTTCGTCAGCTATCGTAGGAGTGAAGTTTTCGCTATCTTCCATCGGCAAGGTTGTCTGTTCAGTGGTTACCGTGTCGTTCTCCATTATTTCTAATATAATCGGAACTTCCGTTTCACTTCTAGTTACATAAAAACCACGTGGAACTTGACTGTGAAGTAAATTGACCAAAGGAGTGCCACGCATAGTGGTAGGCCTTAGGGTAGTCGTTGTTGTGGAATCTTGACGATCGAACCTCTTTTTGTTAACTAACGAAGCATCTTCATCATCAGCGATATTGTCCTCAACGTAATACGCTGTTCTGTCTACGGTTAAGTCTAACTGATTTTCTAACGTGTAACTCTTTTCCTTATTCAGTATCCAGGGCTTTAGTTTCGTATCATTTAATAATATGCTAGTTGAAGCTGCTGCTGCACCTCCCTCGAGAACGTGGTTCGTGTCTTTTTCACTCGTGAAAATTTCCTCATCGTTCGCTTTATTAAAAGGGAACAAGCTCAAGAATACTGGCGACGGACTGCTGGTGTAATCGTTGGTTTGATAACCAATTAGTTCCTTGAGGGTTGGTAGTCTATTTACTTCCGAGCTGGCGACCTGAAAATCAGAAGAGGGTAGCACACTTAATGACGATCCTCCGAAACCTTTCTCTTCGTTCTCTCTCTCTCTCTCTCTCTCTCTCTCTCTCTCTCTCTCTGGTTGGCTCAGTCTCTTCCCACCCTAAAAGGGAAGAGAAGGAGAGAGAGAAGGTGGAAAGAAAGCTGGAAGGATGATCCTTGGTGCGTTGATTTTCTGGCATTCAGTTGAGTGGTCTTTGACGGTCTTGGCGGCCTTGTTACCGAATGAACTCGTCATAATAATTATTCAGGTGTTTTATATCATGTGTGAATCGATGAAAGGAAGATGCGTTGGCGATGGCTCGAACAAATCATGTGATTTATAAACTGATAAATCTCTGATGATGATGCATGATGAGGATAATCGTGGCTATATTATGTATAAGTATATATACATGTATGTAAATATATACATTATCGGTAATGACGATGAGATGGATTGGAGAAAGCGTGTTTATCACTTGCTAGAGTCCCTGCTGCCGATCAAGTTGCTGAACACAGACTCAATTTCGATCGTTGAGGATTCGTGGGATTCTGTGGTGAATCGAGCCTGGTAGAGAAATTCACCCTCTATTGGCAGTGTAGATCTTTCTACTTGTCCCTGACGAATCTCGTTCACCGATTCGAGCTCCTCCTCGTTCGCTTCATCGGAGGAGTTCGTGGATCTTTCCAGCGTACCAGCCACTGAGAAGACTGTGGTGGTCAGTGGGTATTGCGTTCGAGTAACGCTGGTTTGAAGGGGGATCTTCGTGGTCGACGTTAACGAAGAGTACTTTGTTTTTATCAGAATCTTCTGCCTCTCTGTGGTGGCTGATTCTTTGACAGATGTCACGAGCCTCGTTACCAGTGGCTGTAGAGAAGGTGTGGTTGTGTAATCCGCGTCCACAAGATTCTGGACCTCTGCTCCTCGATCTTCGCTCAAGCTCGACAAAGTCGTCGAGTCTTCGTTTTGATTACGGACAGTCGTTCTGAGAGATTGTTGCCGTCTGTGAGCGTCTGCCACGTAGTCGAATTTCTTGGCTGGAATCAGAGTTTCCGTAACCGGTGGTTCCGTGCTGGAAACAGGTCGTTTCGCGTAGAAACGCGTCCTTGCGTGCGTCGAGGAGTCGAAACTCTGTGACTGCGTACCATCGTCCAAAATCAATTCTTCCTCGTCCTCTTCTTCGCGATTTCGCGTTATTTCTCGATACTTGTAACGCGTTCTCGGTTGACGGTAATTCTGATACCTAGGTGGTCTTGTATTATTCGTTTCTTCGGATTCCTCTGGTGACGAGTCGGGTGAATAAATACCCTCTGTACTCACTGTCTTCTTCAAAGACTCTGGAACTCTGTATCGAGGACGAAAACCTGGCGAGCGATTGCTGGAGGGTGTCCACGATTCATCAGTTCTCTCTTTGTTTTCGAGGGAAGTGGTTCCTTCAAATCGTGAAGAATTCTCAATTGTCGTGTCTCTCTGTGGAGTCTCTGGAGACAGGTGTCCCTGTGCCTGATTCGTTGATGAAGTGGTGTAATGATTCCAGAATTCTGCTGACTCACTTTTGCCGGACAAATTGATACTATACTGGCTCTCGTCGTTGGCTCGATTGATTCTCAGGGTGGCATCTTCAAAATCTTGTTGATCTTCCAACTGTATATGTTTCTCATCTACGTCGAATTGAAGTTCATCGATCGAATCTTCTTTGACGAATTGTGTTGTTTTTGTCGTGGTTCTTGTCGGAGAAACAGGTCTACGGCGAATGAATAAACTTTTCCTGCGCTTCGATAAACCTTCTAGGTCATTTTTCTCAGTCGTTAGAGGGGCATAAATCGGAGTTTCTGTGGTTAAATAGCGACCGGTAGTAGCGTTCTCTGAAGAAGCAACTGGTCTCTTCCTCACAAATTTCTTTCTGACGTATCTCGAGTCCAGATAATACGTCCTATTGTACACTTCCAATCTACGATTCGCCTGCTGAGTCACGGAAGATACAGTAGTAGCAGCCTGTGAAACAGAGGTTGGTAGAGTCTCCATTTGGTTATTCGATGGTAATGTTTCATCCAAGGTATTGTCCGTCTCTGTGAAATTAATGAAAAAGTTGGGCAATGTGGTTGATTCTGGTGTACTAGTTTCCGTCATTTCTTCTTCCTTCGGCGAGGATTCAGTTCCAACTGTGATATTATCGATTATAGTAGAACCCATGGTGATAGCATCAGAAACTGTGAAATCTACGTCACTGATTGTAGTTTCAGCGGTTGGTGTTCCCGAAGTTACCAAGTCGTAGTCGAATGTCTTCTCAGTTTCTGCTGTTGATAGGCCAAAATTTTCCGTTGAAACCTCTACTGTTTCTGCAGTGACAGTGCTCGCTGGCTCTTCTCTAAGAGTCGTAGATCTAACTCTTAGCAAAATTTCGTCTTCCTCTGCAGGAGGAAGTTCTACAGTGGATTCAGTGTTCTGAACAGGACGTAAACGTTTGATCACTTTCCTTCTACGAGGAATTAACTTGTTCTCTTCTTCCTCTTCTTGAGACACAGTTGTGCTTGACGTAACTGGTCTTCTTCTTAAAAGCACCTTTCTTCTTTTTGGAACTGTACCGTTTCTGTTCTCCATATACGTCGATAAATCAGTATTGTTCGCGAGGAACACGATCTTAATTACATTTGGATTGAAGTCCTCGACTTTGATAATGTTATCAGTGGTCGTAAAGACTTGGCCGATACCTTCGCTGGAATTAAATTGATTTAAAGTCAGTGTAACCACTTCGTTGTCCAATGTAGATTCAGTAGCAGTACGAACAGATTCCACAATGTTTGTATCGAAGTCTGAATTAGTGGAAGTCGTAGTTTCTTGTGTTTCTGCCGTCGACGTCGTAGTTGGAATGGAAGATGTATTGATCTCATCAACGGAATTCACATAGGGTGCCTCAGTTACGGTGTCTTTCACAAGATCATTGACAATTTGCTCACTGTTCATTTGAAGGGGAGGTACTGTTGAAGTAGTCGTAGAAGAATACGACAAAGTGGACGAAGTAACTTCTCCAGTTCTTTTCCTGGAAGTTTCAGTTTCTCTACTTTGTTCACCAATTTCTACGTTATTTCTTTTCCTCGTATACCTAGTTCTTGCATAGACGTCTCTATTTACAGTAGCTGGTTTTTTGAACACCTTTATGTTCGTAATCTTGTCGCTGTCCACTTCTTCCTTAACCGTGCTTCTTGACCTGGAGGACAAACTTTTTCTGGGATATCCTTGAGTGATCCTGACAATAGGACTGTCCTCCAGTTCGTTAGATTTAGTGGATTCAGTGGTGGTCCTTGAAGTTGGCCGCCTGAATCTTCTCCTAGAAGCGTCTGTGCTGGCGACCACTGTGCTAGTGGGAGCTTCTATTGTTCGAACACGTTGTCTGTTCACGGAATCAGGTTCCTCGTTCCTCACTTTGAAACTAGGTGGCGTGTATCTGCTTGCTCCTCTTCCTCTCGATCTTCCACGAGTGCCACGTGCTGGTGTTTCCTCGATTTGCTCGTTTTGCTCGTTTTGCTCTTCGATAGTCGGTTCGTTTCGACCAGCGTTCTCCTGACTAGGTTTCAATCGACCTCGTCCCGGCAAAAAGGACGAGCGCGTGTGGTTTCGCGATGATATACTCACCTTGGACCTCGTCGGATCGTTGGACGCCGACAACGGAGTGGTCGTAGGCTCGGTCGAGGGCCTATTTCTTCGGTTAAAACTGAAAGGTCTCGGCTGAGAGACCGACGCGGTGCTTATCCTCACGTTTGGAATCGATAAAGTGGACGAGCTCGTTGCTGGTGCAGTCGTTAGGAGGATCTCCGTCGCTGAGTCCTCGACGAGTTTCACTGGTTCCGTGGTAGAGATACTGCTCTCTGGAGTCACGTTTGATATTGGCTTTTCCGTTTCGGTCTCGACGAGGATATCGTTTGGTGTTGAAGATATAGCGATCGAAGATAAAACGATTGTTGGATCCGCTTTTTGGCTGACCGTCTTCGGTGCTTCGGTTGAAACGATAGCTTCTGTAACTGATTCTAGGTTTGGAGATGCTACTGCTGATACGATTTCTACTGCTGATGCTGCTGATTGAGGAGTCGTGCTTCTGAATCTTTGAATGCTAACGTATCTGGAATAGTTGAATAAAGTACTTCATTATCTTATTATCACAGTACAAAAAGATCGTTTGAAATGGGAAAATTTCAATTGTAGAAACCTAGATTTAGTCGTTTGAGAACTTTCTTCGCTCGTTGATGAACGAGATTCCTGATCCTTGGTATTTTCAGTGGAACTCGTCTCGCTGTTTCTAAAATTTCAGAAAGGATCTTTTCAAGTTTTTTCAAGGCTTTACTTCAAAACCTTATTCGTCTGAAATAATGAATTTTAACGAACTTACTTGGAAGATGGACGTCTAGATCGAACAGGCGCCTCTTCCTCTGCGTCTTTGTTCCTCTCCTCTACGTCGTTTTCGTTTCTAAAAGTTTTTTTAAAAACAGCGTTTTAAAAAAGAGGATTCCTTTTCTAGCGCGTCCTCCTTTATTTACCTCGGTGTTGTTGGTCGACTACGTTTAATGTTAATATAATTAGGCGTCGCCCTCTGCGTGGAGCTAACTAAGAAAGGATTGCTGACCGTCTGCTCCTCGGAAGAAGCTGCTACGTCCGCGTTGTCTTCGTCCAAATCTTCTTCATCGTCATCCCCTTCCTCTTCCGCTGGTGGTTCCTCTGTGGATGGCCTGTTTAAAATAAAATATCATTAATATTAACACTGTGCACTTAAGAATAAAAAAGTTGGGGAGAACATTAATCATCGTACTTGGGCCTCTCGATAGTAACATACTGAGGCTTTTGCGAGCGTCGTAGACTCTTCACCTCAGGAACCTCATCCAGTCCCTCAAACTGTGCCTTTCCTGGTCCATTCGCGTAATTTGTGTTCGTAGATATCCGTCGTCTATTTGCAGTTTTACTAGCCTGACGATTTAATACACGTTCGTATAGAGTACGACTTATCGTAGCTGGAGTAGCGTTTTCATTGCCAGAATTCACCGCGCTATCAGAACTTTTATCTTGAAGTAGCAATTGTTTCTCCAGTTGCTCTATGCCACCTGTAACCATCTACCATGAATAAAACATATCTAGCGTAAAAGCTGAGTAGAAAAGTAACGTCATTAATAACCTGCTTTTTTAATGAGTTTTATCAGCTCCTTAATGACCTTGGGGTCCTCCTCGTCTTCCAAATCGAGTACTTTCTCCGGCTCAGTTTTCCCAGGCTTTGAAGTCGTACTCGATGGAGTTTCTGTGGTAGTCGTAGTGGTGGTGGTACTAGTAGTAGTAATAGTAGTACTAGGCCTCTTCCTGGAGATAGTCTTATAAAGAAGCGCCTTTGGAGTGGTAGTCACTCTATGCTGCTCTTGCTTCTTTTCCTCTTCCTCCGAGACCTCATCGTCGTCATCGTCGTAGTATTCGTAGTCTTCGTCTGAATCCGGTTTTTCGGTAGACGGTTTGCGCGTGGAGCTATAAAGGTAAGTTGTACGACTTGTAGCAGCTGTTATGGGCGCCTTAGTCGTCGAGGCGGTCGATTGAGACGTCTTCGATTTTGGACAGACAACGTTACGTGGATAGTCACATGAATCGGCTGCTTTATTGAACACCAATCCTGCAGAATTTGTTACATAAATAATTTTCCAAATACAACGATAGCGGTTTTATAATTAATTTACCAGAGGGACACGTAAATTGATGGGCCACTACACCGAGACCTCCTGGTCCACTCTCCAAGCACCAGAAATATTTTTTACAATCCCGAGGATGAGGGAAGAATCCTTCGTCTTCACACTTGAAATCTATCGAAGATACAAGAAAGATTAATACCTTTAGGTTTTCACGTTTGAAAAAATTCGAGAATTTACCTGTTCCAGGATCAGGTGTTGTTGGAGGTTCTGGAGTAGTCAATTGATTACTCAATGTTCCTTCTTCGTTTTTGTTCTCTTCCTTGCGCCGCACTTGCTTTCTGCGATTCCGGTTTGAATTTAATCTATTCTTCGATCTATTTTTCTTAGTGTTAGTCGATCTTTCATTTTTGTCTGCGGTTCTCACCGCATTACCTCCTTCAGAATTTTCCTCCTCATCGGAGGATGGATCGTAAGACCTTCTATCGACTTGTTGCTCTTCCTCCTCCTCTTTTTCCTCCTCCTCCTCCTCCTCTTCTTCATCATTGTGTTTAGGTCGTGAAAATGTTCTGTATTTTGGCCTCGAGGTGGAAACCCTCCTTTTTGAGACTGGAGCTGCAGTGGTAGTGCTTCGTCTGGCACTTGAACCAGGTTTTCTTGCTATGGTATTGCTTTGATGAACACCTTGAGCTCTGGATTTCTTACGACTATCCACTGTCTTCGACTTTTGAATAGTATTCCTGATTAAAAAACGATAAACCTTCGTTATTATTATTGTTGGAGATATAACATAGCCATTTTAGTTCTCGTGTCCTTACGCATTGCCTGTTAAAAGAGCCTCCTTGGCCGCTTCAATCAGAGGATACGGACGATCGTGACATTTTCCTCGGAAATCATCATTATCGATCGTCCAGAACATAATTCCGCCCAAGTTTTTCTCATTAGCGTACTTGGCTTTTAATTTGACTATGTCTTCGTCGTCGTAACCAACCCATTGGTCTCCTTTAAAGGCATAGGGACCCATAGCTTTTTCATTTGGCTGAATCACTTCCCAATCGTCTGATTGTGAGAGACCCTCGCAAATCTGTACACGAAATATCACGTTATTTGGTGGGCCACTAATGATAGAAATCAACGAAGAGACTAACCTCGTAATAAGCAAGATATCCTTTTTCCCTCGTAGCGTCCCCCTCAACTCCTGGGCCATCTGCCGGTGATCCTAGTTCAGTAGCATCCTGATTAAAAAGCGTATAGGATCGTCCATAGGTTGGAATGCCTAAAATGATTTTCTTTGAGGAGGCACCTTTCGTTAGAAGATAGTTAACGGTGTAATCCTGAAAAGATTTCAGGCTTAACATTTTTCCTAAATTCAACATCGAGAAACATGAACATCTTACGATTGTTAATTCGGCGTCGTAATTGTATTCGTTGTCTTCCTCCAAAGGATATAGCGGAGAATGATGATTAACTGCGGGCTCATAAGAGGAATGATAATCGTAGGATAGGAGATTGATGAAATCCAAGTAGTCGTTTAATCTGGGAACATCGTAGCCTTTGTCGATGTACTCGATACCGGCTGGCATCGCGAGCGATAGTAAAAGCCTTGGTTTTCCGGTCTTGGAGGACTCCCTTTCAAACTCCTCTCTGAGTTCCTGTTTCAATAAGTATCAACAGTTGAACGAAATGCTATATTTTTCTAACAATAAGTCACTTCAATTGGAACCATTTATTAGCTGTTGATTTGTACCTGCACTAAACTGGCGTAATTATCTTTGTCCCGCGGTTTTCCACCGTCCCGAAATGCCGGATACTCCCAGTCGAGATCAAGACCGTCGAAATGGTTCTTTCGAAGAAATTTTATGGCATTCTTGACGAATTCTCGTCTTCTCTCGGAGTCTGCGACCATCGGTGAAAACCTGCTGGAACCCTCGTTCCAGCCACCAACAGCGAGCAGAGTCTTCAAGTTCTTGTTATACGTCTTTAAGCCAGTAAACTTGGCGTAGCCGCCTTTCAAAAATGCGGAAGGTTAATCAGTGCAATATTTCCTCGTGGTAAAAAGTTTTACACTCGATTCTTTGTACCTTTCTCGATGTCCTGGTACTTGTCGAAGGGCTTCAGAGCATTGTCTTTGGTGAAGCCACCGAAAGCGTAGATCAAGTGCGTACATAAATAAGGATTGATGTTCTGCGGTGAGAATTTCGCTGTTCCTGGCCGATAGATCGACCAGTTCGTGTAGTAACATACTATCTTCCGTTCCGCGTTACCTGAATAGACGAAACATGTAAGTTTTTCTTTTCAATTTTATTTCAGGCACGCGAGCGTAATTCGAGGGAGCGCGTATGGTTGATAGAGAAACCGCGTCGCAGAGAAATTGAAACACGATTGAACTTTCGTTTGTTGAATGAGAAACGGATCTGCGAGCCACATATGTATGAATAGCGAAGGAATTTTCACGTTGATAGAATCCCCCTTTCTCGCTCTTGTTAAGAATTACGAAACCAGAAAACACTTAGCTTACACTGGAAGGGTGTCAAAGTAACTCGTTACGATCGTAATTTACGATTATAAATATGTATGTAGATAATTAACGGGCAGCGCGATGAAGTGTACAGAGATTTCTCCTTTATTCCCACACGTTTGCTTCCATTGACAAAAGCCGATTTGCAGTCACCTTGGCGAATCGTAACTCGCTTTCGATCAGGGAGTTATCCTCGATGCTTTCACTGATCGTAGCCAAGAATCGAGGCCATCCAGAGACAATGTAAAAATCGCGCGTAGAATTAAGATCGTTCCTGACCCTGACCACCCACGTGAGACAGAGACACGATTAACGATTTAATTCCTTCTTGTGTGAGAGCGGAACCGGTAGAACAATTGTCCGGCTATTTGTGCGTTAATTATCGTCGAAATATTACACCGAAATATGTTTCAGTTAACTCTCTTTACATTATTATACGCTCTTTTCTAAGATAAATTTTGCACAGCAGATTAGAAAGTAATTGAATTTTCACGAGAAAAAGTACAGAGTTTCGTGCAGTTTTCACGGTCTTTTTCCACCATTCGCACAGCGGCGTAAAACTATATTCCACCCTAAAAGTGTAGGTATAGATCATTGAGAATAAGTAAGATTATTAAAGATATTCAAAACAAAAACTGAATTATTTAAATTCAAACCATTAAATGTTGAATAGTTTGAATTTGATTGGCTGAATTTAAAATCTGCTTAGTTTAATTATATCGGCTGAATTCAAATTTTGCTTAAATTAATTGCATTGGCCAAATTCAAATTTTGAACAATTTCAATTCCATTGGCTAAATTTAAACAATTCTGCTTTATTTTGAATTTACAAAGAAGTTAATTTAAAAAAGTCATAATCTTTAATAATCTTACCTGTTCTCAGTAAGTTATGCACTTTTAAGATGAAATATAGTTTTTTGCGGTCAGACGGCTGTTTTGAAATACTGTGCGCCGCACAGTGTGTATATTTAAGTATTTAGGTGCGTCTACTCCGAATTGTCGTCAAATTTGTAAATCTTCCTGTGATATATGTAAGTGAAATACATATGTACCTTCCTCTACAAAACTCATGACACGTAAAGTAATTTATTGTTAATATCACTGTTTACACGAAGGATGGTATTTTTAACACTAGGTTTACGAATATTTCTTATATGCCTATATAAGAAACGTCCCTGAGCGTGGGCTGTGATTGGCCAGTGTTTTTCGTTAATAATTCGAAAACGAAGCTTCAAACTACATTTTGGAACTCTACGGACACGCCAGGTCAAATTGAGGCGTAAACGAAACCGCACATTTTCTTTAAAAACAACATATTATACACTCTTAACTTATAAATGAAACTATGTGATATTATATATTTATATAAAATTTATAATAAGCACAAGTGGTAGGAGAGTAAACGGTTTCTGTAATTTTCCTTAATTGTAAATTCGATATGCGTCAAAATGACGCGTCCCGTAAACCTAGTGTTAAAGACGGTAGGGTCTACAGATGTCAATGTAAATATTACTCTATTTAAACAATTTTTATAGGAAAGGGACATTCGGCTTAAGGACTCTTGGGAGTTTAGGAACATAAAGACATCAAAAATTACGGCGTTTTGAAACACTGTGCGCCGCGGTAGTTTGCTTAGGCTAGAATTCTGTTTGCATTCGTGTTTCTGTCACTGCCGCTATACCCGTTATACCCGCTATGCTCGCATAGCGATAGGAACTCTATGCACCCGAGGCGGAGATCGAGATTCTCTTTCACTACGCGATCCTTTCTTGTTACATGTATCGGCGGCAATGAAGTTAAGCACGGTGTATAATACCAGAGATAATATCGGTAAGGGGCGCACAGCAAACGGAGTGGGCAGTCGCATATCTGGCATTCTTGCTGTGTTTTCACCGCTATGATGTTTCTTTTTTCATTTCCGATCATTCCACGTGGTTATTGTTGCTCCGTTGCACCGGGCCTAAAGACTTTCGTTGAAAGGAAATTAACTTTACGGCATACACGCGAAACTTGGTGCACTTAATGACCCGAATCGCTGGATCTTCTCGTCGTTAGAAACAGTACATGCACACTCTATAGTCCCGTGAAATGGTTCATAATCTCGTAACCTGAGAAATTATTATTTCCTATTGCTTCAGACTATATTGTTCTTTTCCTTTTTATTTCGATAATCGTACACGATAGATCACGATCTCACCTCCTATTGCGTCAATTATAGACGCTCTTTTTAGTCCCGGAAGCTGTTACCGTATCGATTACGAGATGTAGAGGTAGAAACTTGGCGGGAACGATCGCCTTAAATATCGCGGCTATTTTACGCTTACAATGTACTTTCGACGTTTTTTTTTTTCACTCTCCCCCATTTAGTGTATCGACTATACCTCGAACCGGGGCCGTTTTCTCCGAGAAGGTGCATATGTACGTTTCACTGGCTGAGATATGGCCAGTCCAGTGAAACTGCATCGGTGCGTGCACCGATCCTCACGTGCACCGGCTGTGCTAGAGAAATTACCGATAAGAGGGGGAGAGATCCGAGACTCGGTCACAGAGTAAATGGGCCATTTATCGCTCTAACCTTGTCCACGCTTTTTTTTAATTACTCGAAGGATAATCTAACGTCATGATATTTCCTTCCTTCTTGGATATTCTAAATTGTCAGGATGAATAAAAACTTCGTAACGAGTCGATTAATCCTCTCAACCTGTGTACGTACTCAGTTAAGAGCTAATAACTCGTTTTTGAACGATCGAAACGGTTTCGAATCACGCTTTCAATTCGTCCACCGACTTGTGAGAAATTGGAAAACGAGGGTGCTGTTCAGCCATGTATTTAGGATGAGACATCATCGGTAATTCGTTTCGTTTCTAATACCGATTTGGAAGCATTAAATTTCTTCTCGTAATGAAATACTCACCGTTGTGAATGGTCGCGAGCAGAATGATTAGGCAAAGAAGCAGTGACACCGTTCGGTTCTCCTGTAACGGAAAAGAGATGCGACGTATTAATAATTCGTTCCACGATGGGTCTGTAAGACATGAATAAATTAACTGTACCCGCGTATGAATGATCACGTGGCCAATTAGAGTGAATCGGGCACTGGTTACACGACTAGACGGTGAAACCAAGTAAACAACGTTCGCGTAAGATTGGTCTTCTTCAAATAACATCGTACACGGAAACGAACAGAGCACTTCAAATTGTTTACCGTTGCTTCCGGGTATTTTCAAACTGTTACCTGGCTCACACTAGGAGAAACACCAACCATCACAAATTCATTGTTTTGACTCTATCGATCTCTAGAATTTTTACTTTCGTCAAGTTTCTTCGATACATCATACATTCTTGATGCCTCGAGGACAGTTTTATGGGTTGCATGACTCTGAATTCTATTTAAAGAAGATATCTGTCTAACATTTCTCGGATCGTAATTGCAGACCTTTATAAATACTTGTTTCTGCGTGGTATTAAAAGCTCCCGCGTGTACGCACTAATTGGAACCGATCGTGTTCTAATCGTGTCGTTGGTTGGTGAATAGGGAGACGGTTGAAGAGTGGCGCATTCGTGGTACACCTGCGTAGTACGGTCAATTACGGTGATTCCGATTTTATTGGAGATCTCAAGGATACAGCGATGAGTCCGGGGGCAAATGAAGAAGAACGGGGCCCTGACACCCAGAGTGCCACTCCTCGTTACGTAACGTGTGTAAAGAGAAAGCAAGAAGAAAGAAAGGACACCGTTGCGCGACGACTTTCTCGTACGTTTCGGCTGGCGAGCGCGTTACGTTACGTTACGTCGTAATGCCATTCCTCGCGATAGAACAATTAGTAATGTGCCATGAGATCACGCATTCCTCGTTTATAGCCAGTTGGAATTTGTCGTCACTTTTTCCCGCTTTTTTTTTCTTTTTTGGTAACGATGCGCCTAGAAGTAAGACCGTATGAGAATAAAAACGGGAGAAAAAGAATTGCTCGTTCTTCTCGTTGTTGGACGATGAAAAAGCTCAAAAAGTCGCAGCAGAGTGGAGAGACGAAGCAGAAAACGATCACGATGAAATGAATCGCATAGCAGCGCGCACCAGTGTGCACGCGGGAGTGTCGAAAAATTCCCCATAGACACTGCTAAATGTCAAATAACTTTCTACGAGACGCGCAGCTATGCTTCAACTGGGAAATTGTTGCTGCCCGACTACAACAAAACGATACGTCGTGTCGTGTCGTCGAGTAACCACCTGTGCCCAACGGACGAGTTTCTGTCGGGAAGTTTCAGTTTCATAACCGGAACGGAAAGCATCGCGAGAAACTTTCGATGATTTCGATCGGAGAACGTGTCACGGAAGCTCTACTCATCTACCGGTGTCGGTTATCGCAACGCGTTACTTTGAGAATGCTGATGATATTTCACCTCGGTGTTTACCAGAAAAAGCGTGGTTCTATTCTCCATATAAAAGAATAGAATAATATAGACGCGTTCTATTCGCGTTCATGGGAGATTCGTCGAGAAATAATCGTGTTTGAGAACTGGCGGAGAGGCTGGCAGCAGAGGCCGGAGTGACTTCGATGCCCGCACTAGCCGTAACAGGCTAAACTCGAGCTTTGCGAATCGCGGACAACTTTTGATCGGTTTTACCAGGAAATGTCAACCAGTTCCTTTCGATTTCCCAAGTGAAAAGAAAGACTGTTCCTTGCGCCGTGAAAGCAATGCATATTTCGATATACTCTTAATATGAATTATGGGTAGAGAGAAGTGTGTGCTACGGTGTCGTAGTTGGACCAAAAATTACATCAATTCGAGGTGGTTAGTTTTCCTAACACGTGGAAATTATCGGTATCACTAACATTACGCACGATATTACAGACCAATTATTTCGATCAAATCCGCTTATTCGTGTACATTCGATCCATAGAACCACGACTGGACACGCTTCGAGTTCCTATGACATTTGAACGGCTCATTGATGTCCAGATGATTCCGATGACTTCACCCTTTGCCTCAACAATACCGTTATTCATCATATCGAGATCTTTTCAAGAATTAATGATTTTGCAAAAGAAAATAGGAGAAAAGCTTTTCGAATTATTCCATCGACTGTTTGGCCAGTTTTTCACTCTCGTTGTAAGATTAGCAAAAATAGCACAAGTACAATAGTAACAAGTGTCAAAGTTGTCGATCTGGTAGCAAACAAAGACACTCGAAGATCTTTCGACATTCCAGGAAAGTAGGCACGCATGTAGAAGCGAAAGAATGAAAATGAACGAAAGACGGATCATTTGAACGCAACCTTGGACGTCCAGAATCTCCCGGTACCGGTAGCAGAAAACCAGTTGCAAAGGTGAACAAGGATGATTCGTGCGTCATTGTAACGAGGGCTACGGGTTTCGATAGTAGATCTCTTACCTCTTGCATTCACTTTTTTAAATCGTTCAGACATTTTTGCTCGATTACCATGCAACAGATCCCCTTATATCTTTCAGATTCGTAATTGGATCACATCAATGCTAAACGAAAATGCTAATTGCAGAGTACAAGCTGTAATGGAAATTGTATCGAATTAGCCGGTTTACAGATCGTTAACCGTTCGATTTTCGAAATGCAATTTAAGTACGATTAGTCGGTAGTATGCACAACTGTTTGCATTTGAAGAATAGATTTTAATGGAACGAAAAAACCAGAGAATAATAAGTACTCATGTGTGTAAGTAGTCGAAAGTAAAGTGTTGAGTTGATCTGTCGCTGGTGGATAAATCTAGCGTGGCTCGGTCACTTTTACTTTCCATGGAATTCGCTTCAAGGCACCGGACTCTCGCTCTGTTTACTAGGAAAACTAATGGTACGATTACGTTCTTAATTAAATCTTCTTTGTTGTACTTAATTACTCGAGGGAATCTCGACGAGCCGCAGAACCGCTCGAAGATAATGGATCCGTCACTTATATCTTATTCTTTTCCTTTCGTTTCGCCATTTCCTGTTTCTTTCTCGATTCGACTCTTTTTTTTCCTGGACTTTTACCACCGTAGAAATTCGATCGTAAAGCATCGATGTTGTCGATGGAGAGATCGAAAATGCAAATCGATCTCGTAAAATCAGATCATCGAATCCTTCGAATATATTTTTCACTACTTTGTCGATGAAAAGGTTACTTTCCATGACACCAAGAGAGAGAAATGATAATTGACGATTAAAAGGAAAAGAAAGATCAGACAACGAGTCTCTGAAAGGTCAGCGGATAACCTTCCTTGCACTCTCCGAGTATTTTTTCACTCGTTCCTCATCTCCCTCTTTTCATCCTCATCCACATTACCCTTTCTTTTCGGTCGAAGGCAAGCCAAGCTTTCCTTGTACTGTTTTCCTTTTGTACATTCATCTGCGAGGAACCTCGAAAGTCGGCTTTACCCCTACAAATTTTCCCCCATAATCATACCTTAGAAAGTCCGATTCCCACCGATGAGAAATTTCGCCGAATATATTTCTGAGCTGTACTATTCTAAAATTTTTCTACGTCGTGAAAGTGGCACGAGTGGTTAATTAAACAGAAAAGCCTACCGTGGGTTGCGTCAGAGTTGCACAATTATTTCAATTTGACTCCGTTGTATAAACGGGTTAATTGTTTTTGAAAAATGCTCCGAGCGTTCGAATTTCCAGTTGTGTAAATATGCCACAACGGTCTTATTAGAGTGTGTCTGCGCTCGACACAGATCATACTTCCAACGACGTGAGCGCGTTTCCAATTTAAAGATGAGAGTACCGTTCAATCTGTATAGAAAGTCTCTCCCTCTTGATTACAATTGTCAGAAGGTGCACGTAAACCAGGTTTTCGGAAGTGATCGCGAAATTGGACGTACTGAAATGGTTGGAAGCGGGCAAGGAGAACTTTGCGACCTCGACTGTGTTGCAATCCCGAATTGCTACATGCGTTCGCTCCTTCTTTGCTTGTCGCAGCAACGGCTTAAAACGGAGCGTGCAGTTGGAGGTAGAGTAGTAGCGCGGCTCGAATAACCGGTAGATTTCCTCTCCCTCCTCCACCGGCAGGAAGCCAACGATCGTTCCCAAGTATTCGATATACATGTAGATCTCGCCTAAAGAACAATCCAAGCCTCTAAGAAACTTGGCGCAATTTCGATCGTGGAATTTCCACTCTGTGTGTGTTTCCCTTTTCTCGAATCATTTCATCTAACTCCTTTTTTCGGAAAAACGAACACGTCTAGCGGTGTGTATAATTTAACGAAAGAAATGTAGAGAAAGTGACGACGACGACGTCGACGACGTTGATCGAGAGGACTTAAAAGGATTTTGTTAGAGACGCTTAACTTTATCTGACCTCGGAAAAACGAACACGTCTAGCGGTGTGTATAATTTAACGAAAGAAATGTAGAGAAAGTGACGACGACGAAGTCGACGACGTTGATCGAGAGGACTTAAAAGGATTTTGTTAGAGACGCTTAACTTTATCTGACCGAGTTGTGGGGATTCGTGTTTCTCCTTTATCGATTCAGCTCCTCGTAAATAGTGTCACTCGCCACGTTCGAGCGAACACCCTGGCTAGATGACTGGTATACTCGTCGATTTGTAAAATAGAACCACCGAGATACGAACGCGAATCGCTTGGTATGCCTGGTACAGGTGTAGCGCTTTTTATAGGATCCTAGCTCATTAATTTTCGAAAAGAGAAAATTCTTTCGTTAAGAGGCGGCTCTTTGAATGTTTCTCTAAAGAGAAGTGCCACGAGTTTTTTGTTAATTTCTTTACGACAAAGGCAAAAAATGATTAAAAAAATGATTAGAAAAGCTCTCTAGATGCTCGACAAAAGACACATTTCATTCATAATTATCATGATTCTTATTGAAGTGGATTCTCTATTCCTCTTACCCAATCCATTTTGGTTGATCGACGATCCAACCCTTTGTCGTTTGTTCTCGGTGGAGCGTTGTCAGGTCGAGCACATTGCGCACTATGCTTCCATAGACACGTCTCCTCGATTCACACTGTGTGCACGTTTCCGGTGCACTCGCGCGACCTTGTACCTGGACAACGACACCGAAGGACACTGCGGTGAATCGCAAGCACCCGTTCTCCAGAGCAAAGAGAGTGAGACTGAGCCTCGAACAGAAGGTGGAGAAGGCACTGTTACTTTCATGGGTCGTCTCCACCTCCACCAAGAGACTCCCCGGACCTCTCTAGCCATTCCTGCCACTCCTCCTTCGAGCAAAGGTGAAAGGAAAACATTTCTTCCCTTCCACCATATCTACTCCCGAATCCTCCTCGAGCTCGAGAGCTTCTTTTAATAAATATTCTGATATATTAAAACCACGGTTGTATCTTCGCCTGTTTTTTCACCAAAGCACTCCTCTTAGCAGATGCGTGTCCAGGAATGTATGTAAATTCTCTGGCACACCTTACATTTCTTTTTCTTTTTTTCTTTTGCAAATTCTATCAGCAGGTCAGTTTACAAATCTATGGTACTTTTTACACTATCGATGTTATTGTTTGTTCGAGAAGGTAATCGTAAATTTAATTATAAGAAAATTTAGTTCAACCACCCGAAATGTATTGTAACGACAAAATATTGTAGCGCTAATATATCTAAAGTAGAACAGCGTTGAAACGCATTCTTGCATCGAAACGAGGTGCAACAACCGCTCTCGAGGCTGTAATTAAATCGGTTGGAACGTGGGTCGAGGATTAATAGTAACTACGTACGCGATACTTATTGGCACATGAAGTCAGTCGAACAATATCAAAACCTAAATACGTAGCATTAGTACGCGTGCCATCGGTGACATGCGCTGCTAGTAGAAATTCAAAGTATTTTCGAGAAAAGTGAGACGAGAAAAAGTCACGACGTGACGCGAAGGTCAATATCGCAACACGAAAAAAACTTTTTAACTTTCGATCGACTTGATCCGCTGCCAGGTTTTCAAGGGAAATATACTTGAACTATTCTTTAACCTGTTTCGTAAATTTTATTAGTCTGTTTCTTCGTTAGTCATGTACGTACGAAACACTATATATTTACAAAGTTTTAGAAATGATGCTATTTATAATAAGTCACGCATTATTCTGTTTCTAATCCGACATCTTCTGGGTTTAATGTCGCCTTCTTGCCCCTCTTTGTTGGTTCCTCTGCACAAAAGATCAATACACGTGGTAAAATAAATCATAAAGAAACCAAAGATAGTAGAAAATGTAGCAGATACCTTGATAAAAGTGTTTAGCTGTTCGTTTCCTAATATCTTCTATACCCTCTTCAGTTTGGGCCCATTCCAACACTAATCTTCGACCGTATAAATGAGTACTCTGACAGAGAGCTTTAAATGCTTTCTGTCAATGAAACAGATATAGCTGAATAATAATTATTAATTTAATGGAGAAAAATTATTGAACTGTTTTGGTACCTTAGCTTCACTTTTTGTATAATACTCTACAAAGGCAAAGCCCCTGTGTTTCTCAACGCCAACTAATTTCCTTGGTAATCTCACTGCCTTCAGTTCCCCAAATGCTCTGGATATTCAATAAAAAATATTTAAATTTCCACGTCTTATATAAAACATGGAACATACATACTTGAATAGTTCTGTTATTTCCTCGGCCGTGGCCTGGAATGGCACGTTCCTTATCAGAATTTTTGTCCCCGTTTGAGGCGTAACTTTTGTCATCTTCTTCGCGGTTTTTACTTCAGAGCTGCATATTCAAATAAACCAAAATTTGTATTAATGTTGAAAATGTTAAAATAGGTAGTGGTAGGCTTGAAAAAAACTTATAAGCATACGATAGTGTTCGTTCAGAACGTTTCAATTCTATAGACTTTCCGTCTAACACGGTCATTTGTAACACTTTTAATGCACGATCCGTGTCAGCCTTTCTTTTATATCGTACAAATCCGTAACCCATCGACAGTATGGCACCAGGATTTTTTGGATCTTTCTTCGTTGCTATCGTGGCATAATGAAGGGGACCACATTTCCCGAAATACTATAAAATAAGGTGTTATACATCTGACTATGGGTGAAACTGAATACTTACTAAATTACACACCGTTTTTAGTTGCTCTTCCGTGGTCGCAAAATTAATATTCTTTACGAAAAGAGTAGTGTCTGGTTCAGGTTCCTCTTCGTCCTCGTTCTCGTCTTCGCTCTTGTCTTTCTTATCCTTATTTGTATCGTTTATATTTTCTGAAGATTCTTCTGCCTGTTTTTCCACTTCTTCTGTCTCTGTTTTCTTCTTTGTTTTAACGTCATGGGTCTTTTTGTTTTTCTCCGTTGGAGGAGTAGTAAAACTGTTGTCTGGACCCCATTCCAGATAGAGCGGCAAATGTTTATATTTGGTATATGCTAATTTTGTAAATGCTTTGCGTGCCTCTGAAGGCTCCAAAAATTCCACCAAAGCTAAAAGTCATGATGAATTGGATATTGAAAAATATTAGCAACAATATACATAATTCCAGTGATAAAAAAATGTAATACCAGTAATTCCTGAAGGTGGCATTACAACTCTTCCTAATTCGCCGTGTTGTGCAAACATTTGTCTAATTTCCTGCACCGGTGTTGCAGCTGGTAAATTCTTTACGAGTATCACTATTTTGGAACGTTTATTTGTTGGCTGAAAAAATGCATTCTTCAACTTACTGGATTATCATTTTATTATTATTTATACTCCAAATAATATTTACTTGATTAAATGCATCCAAGCAGACTCCATTTTCTTCTAAAAAATTCTTGGTATCTTGAACTAATTGTGTTTCTCCCAATGCCAATTTTACTGCGGCGCTCAAACCTTTCGATCCATCTTCCAACACCTTTTCTTTTGTTGTATTATAAGTTGCAGCTATCGCATCTGCTACAGCATTTTGGCCAAGGAACAGAGTATTCCAATTATGTGACGATCCCGCAGTTGCCTTAGCTTGCAATTCTTTTTTTTGCTTATAAGTTAATCCCTCTACAATATAGAATTTATATTCACTCGAAATATTGGGATGAATTATACAGGATAATAGTACAGGATTTATTTTTACTTTCGTCAAGTTCTTCCATAGGATTAGATTTTGCTTTGGCAGGCAGAAGATGCAACATTCTTCCATCAAAAATTGAACCGTCTAATTTACTGTAAGCCTTCACTGCATGCTCAGTCATCAAAAATGTTACCGTACCAAATCCTTTTGGCTTTCTAGTTGTCCGATCAATGGGTAAATTAACTTCGATTAGCGGACCTAATAAAAATTTTTCTATATTAGTATTACAAAGATTCTATTTCCACTAGATAAAGGAAGATCTACCATATTTTTCAAATAATTTTCGAATATCATCTTCCGTTGTCGTATAAGAGAGATTTCGAATAAACATTCTTCCAGACTCTGCTATACTTTCTTCATCTTTCAGCGCTTCCTCTTGCTTCTTCCATCCAACGTTACAATTATTCTCGTTCTGTTCTTCGCCAAAGTTCTGTTCCTTCTGTTCTTCGTATTTCATTACGAATATTTGTCTTCCATCTAAAAAAATACGAGTGCAAATGAAAAATTAATACAAAAGAAAGATTAACTTTGATGTTAATACCTAAAAAACTTTTATTTTTCAACAGTGCTTTCCTCAAATGCTGTGCACTTTTAAAGCCTACATAAGCGATGCCCTTAATCTTTGGCGGCACTCGTATCGATTTTGCTTGTAGAGGACGGAAAAATTGTTTGATATCCTTTTTCTTGTGACTGTATGCTAATCCTCGAAGTTTCACGGTAAAGAATTTTACAGGGCCACGTTTCGATTTATTTTTATCATTTGGAACCTTTTCCTCTGTATCCTTCTCCTTCCCTTTTAAAGCTTCCATATACTTAAAAAAACACACATACACATATTAATATATTTGGAAATAATTTATAAATTACACTTTAATTACCTCTAAATCAGATATAACTTTATTTGCAATTTTTTGCTTTTCTCCCTCTTCTTCTTCCCTTTCCTCCTTTTCATCATCCTTGTCACTATGTTCCTTGATTTCAATAGGTGTTAATGTTGTATCGTTATTCCATACAGTCTTTTTTAGTGCATGACTTTCAAGGAATTCCATAAATAAAGGATCATCTTTATACTAAATATAAATTAATATTAAAATTAGATTTAAAGAATTTAAATAATAAAGTAATAATATGAAATATGGATGTACCTTCTCTAGTGCATCTTTAACTTCACCTGTTAAAACTTTTTCTTTTTTATCCTTTTTGCCCTTTTTCTTCTTTTCATCTGTTTCATCTGTATTTTTACTCAAGAATGAGCTTTCTATTACTTCATTGGTACTTTCATTATTGGTTACGCTCTTTGAACTGTCAGGGGCATATTTACTCCATGCTCTAGGTTTAGAAGAATCCCCTATGGAATTAAACATGTTAAATACAAGCTGTCACTTCTTATAATCAATTATAACGTATTAAATTTTTTCAGTACCTAAACTTGCACATTGCTCTACAGATACCCTGCAAGTATCAATGCATGTTTTGTCAAAATATTCTTTGGCAGCTATTGCTTGCTCTTCTGTTTTAAACCCAATGAAGGCAAATCGTCGAAATTTGCCATCCTTTGTGTATTTCAATTGCACATCAGTTACTAAACCTTTTTGACTGAAAAGTTCCTTTACTTTTGTATCTGTAATCTATGAGTTTTTATTAGAAAATAATATTTGTCATTCGTTTCACCGTCTTGATTGTATCTTCAATGTTTATTGCTTACATTTTTTGGCAAATTTTTTACTATCAATCGCGACATTTTATATCGTTCATAATTCTCAATATTCAATGTTTACGTTACGCATTACAAGATAAACGTATACATGCGGTTTAAAGAGGTTATGCTTTCCGGGATTTTAGACAGGTTAAGGACACGTGGGCGTACCTGCATTTAATGGCGCTAATCTTGTCTAAAAAGTGCAACAAAGATAGAGTAATCTAAAAATAAATAGACGCTAAAAAGTAACGGGTATTAATAGAAAATGTAATCCCTCTAAAAAGGATGGTATATGAAAAATCACTTTATTAAAAATTAGAAATAGATACAACTGATAAATGAAAATGAATATTCTTTATATCACAATTTCTTGAAAGAAGTTTATGCCAGTTCCTATTTACATCTCAATGAAGTATGTCTATCAATACAAAATAAATAATTAATATTAGTTCACTACAGTTTACAAATTACGGTATATGTACTTATTGAAACTAAACAATGCACATTTGGCAAAAAGTCTTGCTTATCCCTCGAGTAAATACATTTGGTAGAGTTCTCGATCTTTTTCTCTTTGAAACTTTGGAACGAAGTTTAAATGAACGATTTCTAAGAAATCTTCATGCAAGCTTGGCGGTTGATAATTTTTCCTAAAAATAACACACTGAAGTTGATGAGCAATTCGCTGATTTTAACGTGACTAGGATCCGTTAATTCTCGAAACTGAAAGAAAAAATAGAATATGTAGTTTATGTTATTGATTTTGTTATACCACTTAAAAGTCAGCTACTTTTACCTTATTGTTATGTTTTGCATGATCGATAGTTGTGGTCATAACAAAACACCTTACAGGTACTCGATATTTTTTCGCAATCTCGATGTATCTCTGTCTGGATACAGGATCAGGATTAGTATTGTCTACAACTACACTTCTCTTTTCACTTATATATCTTTCCATCATGCTAACACATTTTTTCCAGCTTCCAAGTGTATCTCTATTAATACATTCATAATGATTTAAATAATTCTTCACAAAGTGTGATTTTCCAGAACCAGGACATCCAACCATTAAAATAACCTAAAAGCATAAATTAACAGTTACATACTTATTATCATCAAAGTGACTTTGATTTTAATTACTTCTTGGTCACTTGAAGTTATACTGGTTCCTGAACATATCTCGCCATCCGGTAAATTTTTTGGATTAAATGCGGGCAACTGAAAAGGGGCCTGTTTATGTCCCCGAAAATGTTCTTCTGGTGTATAAAATTTTAAACCTAAATTCAACGCTAGCAATCGATCAGCTAATGAGTGATCTTTTTTTTTTCCAGGGGCCCAATTTTTTGTTCGTCCAGCTGCATCTCCGACATAAAACGAATTGTCTTTATCAATGGGAGTTGGAGCGTTTTTCTGTAAAAAAAAAGAAAATGTTTTAACATGAACACTTTTCATGATAATAGTAATAGCTTCATGAAATAAGTAATTAGATGCCTACTTCTTCCAGTTTTTGCCACATGCCAATTGCTGGCTTTCTGTAGATGCTATTTCCAGTAGCTATAAATATCTACAAATAAATTTTCATATATAAAATCATTCTATTTTAATTCTATAAAAAGTGAAATATACCTGTATCGGAACACCTATCTTTTGTATTATATTTTTAAGCTTACGCTTAAAAAGTTTAACATTTATCCTTCCAGAACCAATTGATGCTTGATTAGTGAAAACTACTATTTTATAGCCATTATTATGAAGTTCTTTTAATTTCATTGGTACATCAGGATATGTGAGTTGCCAATCATTATAATCTTTTGGAAACACTAAACCAGATTTTGTTTTTATTAAAGTTCCATCCATATCATAAGCTGCTACCTATAAATCAATTCATTTCACTTATTGTTACATAAAGCAATTAATAGTTCTTTTTAAGTTACCTTTGAACAACTCTTCACAACCTGTGTTGTATATATTAATAATGCTTCATTCGCCTCACTTTCCCACATATCTTGCTTTTGACCTAGATCTATCGCGGTGTTATCTTTATCTTCTAGGTTATCTGAACTGATTTTATCCCTGTCTAAAAACTTCAAAATACCATGAGCATTCTTTGTTTTTTGTAGTTTCTCTTCTTGAGTTTCTTCTTTGTGATTACTAGGACCTGTATCATCAACCTCAAGTTTTGCTATTTTAGAAGAACTTTCATCAAGTTTACAACATATCTCTGAATCTCTAGTTCTTTTCTCTGATAGAAGGGTTTTTGGAGGTGAAGGGTTAAATTCAATTTGATAGGTATGCTTTCCATATAAAAATTCTAAACAATCCTCATGTTTTCCAATAAATCTTACATCTTTGCGTGTTTTAAAGCCATTAAAGCCACAAGGTCTTTTTCCAATCTGTTGGATAAAGACTTTGTAATCCTCATAATCTGCATGTAATTGTACTATAAAAGACAAACAATGCACAGTAAGTACAAGGAATAAAATACAGTGAAAATAATTATAAATTACATACAACAATATAAAATGTTAACCTTGTTGCCTAGAACATTGTGTATCTGTAATATTTGTTTCTGGACAACGGCCCAAGATAAGTGTTTTTTGATTTGGCAGATATACTGTCATTAACGTCTTATTATTGCTTTTCAAGTAACAACTTTTAGCTGGTTGATTCATTTTTATTCAGAGATAACACCTTTGTAATAACATGAAAGAAGATTTATGATTAGAATTTTGAAATTACAGAGGAAATATTTTTTCACGTGAAACTG